TACAGCACCTGGTCTTCCTAGGTGGTCTCCCATCCAAATACTAACCAGGCCCGACCCTGCTTAGCTTCCAAGATCAGCCGGGATCAGGCTTGTTCAGGGTGGCATGGCTGTAACTAAAAAATAGAATTTGGGGATGATGTAAACTAGTAAGGAAGATATTTGGAGGCAGGGGCTCTTTTGAGTAAAACTTCCAATCATGGAAGTGGTTGCTGCTACACCCCTAGCTCATTTCTCTCCCCTCAGTCCCCATAGGGTATGGGGCCTGTCACCCATGGTGGGGCCTGTGGAAAGTGATGTCACTTCCTGGGAACCTAGTCTGAGGACCAAAACCATAAGAAAAATAAGTAAATGGGTGCCCAGAAAGTGCTAAGCATGTCCATCTGTATGATAATGGCTGTGCCATTAGCCCTATTTTACACATAATACAGACATTTGGAGGTGATACGAAGAGCTAGAATTCAAACCCAGGCAGTCTGCCTCCGGAGCCAGAATGACTCAGCTGCTTTCCTGTACTGACCTTGACGGTCCTTTTCTCTCTCTGCTCACAGGATTGGCTTTGCCATCGCCAGGCGTCTGGCCCAGGATGGGGCTCATGTGGTGGTGAGCAGCCGAAAGCAGCAGAACGTGGACCGGGCTGTGGCAATGCTGCAAGGAGAGGGGCTGAGTGTGACAGGCACTGTGTGCAACGTGGAGAAGGCCCAGGACCGGGAGCAGCTGGTGGCCACAGTGAGTGGCAAGGATATGGGCACAGAACCAGGAGATGGCAGAAGGGAGTCAGCCTGAGCATCCTTCTCTGCTTTCTTAGACAACATTGGTGCGATCCGAGCCAGCACTATAAACTAAAACATAACAGTGCATTCTGCATACCCACACCGGTCTGCCAGCACATTTTCATTGTGTGCCCTTCTGTTATGTCTCCAAGAATCATGCCATACCAGTCAGAGAATCAAAAACCACTCTAATGCTTCAACCCTGCATCAGCCCTTGGGGGCACCAAGAAAAACAGCTGGTCTCGGTTCTCTAGTAGTTTCTAATCTAATTGGACAGATGAGAAGGGTAAATACAATCACAAAATAATGTTCTCACCCGTGAGCTAGTAAGCGATCACTCCCTTGTTCTTCAGCATATAGAGTCAAGTCCCTGGAAACCTGCAGGTGGCAGCCTACCATGTTTCAGCCACCTACTGGGTGCCATTTACTTTGTTGAGAGCCTTACACAGGTTATCTCTAAACCTGACAACAACCCAAGCAAGGCAAGGACTATTCTCCCTGTTTACACTCTGCTCAGAAAGCTGGAGCAACATCCCAAGGTCCCACAGCCAGTAAGAAAAGAGCTGTTAGTCAACCCAGACATGCCAAGCCGCCTACCAGGTATTTTCCCATTAGTATCTAGTCAGGTTTGGGGTACTCACTTGGACTTTAGTCTCAAAGGCAATGTCTAAGCAGTCTCAGAGTTGGTGCTTGGCACCAGCCTTCCAGCTGCACAAGAAAATCTGAACATCTGGCAAAAGAGGCTCCCCTTCCCTCAGACTCAGGGCGCACACTTTATTCCCTGGAGTGAAAGGGGGAAGCTACCCAAGAATGGAAAGTATGGGGTTGTGCTAACCAATTGGAAGGTTGGTAGAAATAATTTGGGTAATCTTAGAAGAGGGGGTCAGTTAAGCGATGATGGTAGTATGGTAGACGGTATAAGGTAATTCCATTTTTAAGGAACTGTTTGAGAATATATAAATGTACATTGGAGAGAGCCAAATCTAGGTCCAAGAAAGTCACCTTGCCTGGCACAGGCTGCTGGACAGAGCCTGAGATTGGTTCCTTGATCCCGAGGCTGAAGGGAGCCATCTGGGTTCCTGGGCCAGTTAGTGACTAGCTGTATGAAATGTATGTAGCAACTTAATATCAAAATCCTGCCAGGAAAACCACCTCTGGCCCCCACCGGGTCCATTTAACCTGTCCTGCAGTCCTGGCCTGGCAGTGGAGCTTGAGCTAGACCTTGCAAAGTAGGCGGGATGGACAGATGGAGTAGAATGAGGTTTCAGGTGACTGCAAAATGAGCAAACAGCCAAGGAGGGACTGATGGGGAGAGGAAGCACTGTCGGCCCACAGAGGAGAGCACGGGCTCAGGAGTGCTGGTGTCATGGGATACTGGAGAGGAGAGAGCACAGGCCTCTGCCCCACCCCTCCCCCACCTTGGTCTCCCAAAGGCGTTTAGATGTCCCTGGAGGAAATAAGAGGCCATGTGAGGTTTTGAGGAAGATGAAAGTGGTTATTAAAGAAAGAGAATCTGGCGCTGGTAGGAAAGCTATATTGGAGTAGAGAAGACTGAGCCAAGACGTCAGTGAGGAAGCTATTGCTGTTACTCAGGTCTAGAGCAGTGGTGGTGGGACCAAAATGGACACACCCAGTGGATAGTTAGTGAGCACCAACCAAGATTTTTTTCTAACTCAGTATCAAGAAATGAGAAATAAGAGGGATGAGTCAAAAATGACTCTCAAGGCAATGTCAGGGTGGAGAATGATAGGATACTCGTTAGCAATTTGAGATGTGTTCTGCCTGCTTCAGGGGTCACCTTGCGATGAGGAAAGCTGCTGCCCTGAGGATGATCACTACCCAGTGGCCTCTTGAAGCTTTTCAAAGGTGTAGTGAGCAGAAACTAAATTGGCCGCTTATCTACTCGAATATACTTTTTCTAAAAAATACACCTATCAGAACAGAACAACTCTTAACCACTTTCACGTAGTGATCATACAATTTAGATCAAGACTTAGACTCCAGCTGGGTTGTCAGAATACCTTTCTCATTAATCTTCTACAGTTCTCTGTCTCTGTTCAGTCAAAACGCAGGCTTCTCCCTTCTCTGTGCTGATAGGCCTAGAAGGAGAGGGGGGCAGGATGCACAGCAGAAATAAAAAAGCACCCCAGGTGATTCTGGTGCGATCCACCATCTTCTCTCCACCCCCAAACACACGCGCAGAGCACAGCACACATCACTTTCTAACATATTCTGCACTTTCCTAGTGACAAGTCCATAGGCCAGATTTACACAGAGCCAAGGCAGGGGACTGGGGCTTTGTGCCAGGACATCAAAATTTACAGAGCTCAAGAAAGTATTGATACTGGTTTTAAAAGATCATGTGATTTTAAATTTTGTTAAATTTTCAAGTTGACAGCGCAGGCATTCCTTCAGCAGTGTAGAAACAATTGAGCTTAGCGCCTAGTTAGCAAGAATAATTAGTTAAAACAGGAGCTAGCAGATGATACACATTGTTAATAACACTCCTCTGTGCGCCAAATCAGGAAGCACAAAGTTGACTGAGGGCCCATATACTGCTGCTTGCTCCATTCTAGGCAAATGCAAATTCTGATTTCAGGGTGGCATATTGTTGGCAGATTCTGTTTAGCCATTTATCATTACTCCAGCACATGCCGGCCACCACCTACTTACAACAAGGTGAGATGTTACCTTTCTCGGTCTTCCCAGTTTCAATCTGTTTCTGCCTTGAATCTGACATGCGTTTGGGCCAAAAAAAGAAAAAGGTCATGCAGGTCAAAAATGACATTATAAACAAGTACACAACTGCATTAAACCCAGGCTGGGGTCTTGCCCACCAGACCGATTTCAGTTTTGCTACCACTAACTAGCTTTGTGTCCTGAGCAAATCACTTCACCTCTCCCAGAGACCAAAATGAACAGTTTTCCTGTTCTTAGCCGGCCTTATTATGTCATTACTGAGAAATTAACTTCCCTGGACCTCAGTGTCATCACCTTTACCATGAGGTCACGGGGTTAGATGACCTAAAGGCCCCTCCCATGGTAACTTTCTATGAGTCTATTTAAAGTCATTTCTCCATTCAGGTAGGTGTGGACAGGTTGAATTTGAGATAATGTTAACTCATTCAGGGAGAACTGGACAGTAAGCACTTAGGGAAATGGGGCTGGGACTCAGTATGTAAAGAGGAAGAGTCTAGAAATAGATCTTGTTGTGAGAGCAGAAGTCATGAGAATAGAGGAGCACCACAAAGAGAAAGTATAAAAAGCAAAGGGTCAGTGACAGCCTTAGAAGAAGTTGGAGCAGTAAGAAAAGATGACAAAGAAATTAGACAACCTTAAATGTTTAGCAACAGAGCTTAAGGTAGCTTTGGAGGAAAATGTTTCAAGAAACAGAAATGTCATTTTGACATCATTTTGTTCCTAAGAAGGATTCTTTATCAACACTGATAAGTGCACCTCCCCTACTGACCTGCAGCCCAGACTCAGACTTTACTCCTCCCTCTAGGCTGTGAAGCTTCATGGGGGCATTGACATACTGATCTGCAACGCTGGTATCGTGCCTTTCTTTGGAAACATAATAGATGCCACCGAGGAGATATGGGACAAGGTGAGAGGGGATTAAAGCAGCAGAACTATGGGCCTCAGAAAACAGTACAAACTCAATCTGCTTTTAGAATGCAATTTGTCAAGTGCCTTGTAAATGTGAGGAATCCTTTGCCACAATGCCTGGCATGCGCCTGGTAAAGGGTGAGTAGGGGGTGGATTCCCCCCTCCCTACCCATCTCTCATTGCTTGTGCTCCCCAGTTTTATCTTTCTCCATTTGCTCCTTGCTAGCCTCCTTCTTTCCTAGTCCCCAACCCCCTCCCCACTTAACCAGGCTCTTCTTCCTGGTTTATTTCCAGCAGACATGGCAGCTAATCTGCCAATAACTAATATACTTACATTCACACACCATTCGTCCCCTTTTCAGCTGCCAAAAAAGAGTATTTCTCTGTAGTTGGAAAACTTTAATAGCTGCTAGTTAAGTGAAATACCAATTCTGGTGAAATGACCTAAGTTGCCACTTTATAACATACAGCCTTTGAAAAAAACCTGTGCTCTTTTCTTCTTAAATGCAATGTCAAGAAAATCAGAGATCCAGATGTCTAAATTCAAGGGCAGAATATTGGTGGTTATGTGTGTATCATTATCTTATATGTATAATATATTTCACACACCTACATTTTTTAATTATAAAGCCTTAATTAAAATATTTGTCTTTGTTTACTAAGGCTAATATTCTCATATGATTTAGAAATGCTAAATTTTTTATGAACGCCCATGGTTTTGCTTTTTATTCTGATGTCATCAATAATGTCTCAACACTTATATTTAAGAATACTAAAATATTATACTTTGTTTATCAGTGTTTCACAGACATAGAGACCAAAGTGCCAAATGCTCTTCAGTGAGTCAGTTCCTGATTGATATTCTTTAAAGTAGAGAAACATTTTCATAAGAAGTCTGAATAGGAACCATAGGAAAGGAATTTCAAACCAAATAATTTTCCTTTTTAGTTTACGTTTTTAAAAAATATCATATCTAAATGCCAAGGTTGATCCTTAGTTGAACTGTGAATTTTAAAAATAAGGACATTGGGGAGACAGTTGGGAAAATTTTATTATGGACAACATATTAGATAAAATCATTAGTATTAATGTTAAATTTCTGGATATGATCATGGATTGTGGTGTATCAGAGAATGTCCATAAGTATTTAAGGTTAGCCCATTATGACGTCTGCAGCTTACCTTCAGTGGTTCAGGAAAAACCTGTATAAATACACAGATAGCAAAAATGGAACGAAATGTTAAGAGTTGATGAATCTAGGTAAGGAATATCATTGTATTTCTATGTCAAGTTTTCTGTAAGATTGAAATTTTTCAAAATAATAAGTTTGGGGGTGGTTTGGGGGGGGTGGGGGAGAGGACTATCCCAGCAGTGGCCTAGAACAATGTAAACGAAGGGCATGAATTTGTTTAAAATTATGGATGTGGGGTTTCGATTGCAGCCTATGCCCCAGCTACCCCAAAAAGTGCCTCCTCATGATGCCACTTTCTAACAAATGTCCAGGCTGACGATCCATCCTGGAGGGCAAGGGCATCTCACTCCCCACGCTCGGGAGCCGGAGGAGTGCTGGAGGTCAGGCCACATTTTCCTGAGAAGCACAGCCCACTCTGGGGCAGGTCCAGGAGGCCGACCCTATTCCACGTTGTCCCTAGTTGGAAGAAACACAGGAAATCCAGCTCAAGTCCAAAATAGTCCTGAGAGTTTAGGTCCATTGTGGGCCAAATCATACTTAGCTGGTTAGGAAACGAGATAAATCAGGCTCCATTCTTTCTCGCCCAAACCTAATGTTTTGTTCTCTAGCTGAATAAGCCAGTAAAAAACACTTCTCCTTGGGGCTTGGTTTCTTCACTTGTAAGGTCCCAAGAAATCATCTCTAAGATCTCCGCCAGCCCCAACTAGCAGATCCTAGGAACCCTATTATGACTCCGCATCACCCTGCCTTCTCTAGCTGTCTCCCCTCATGCTGTTTCCCCTTCTTTTGGTTTCAGCTTCTGGACACTAATGTGAAGGCCACAGCCCTGCTGACAAAAGCAGTGGTGCCAGAGATGGAGAAACGAGGGTACGGAGAATGAGAGGAAGCCTGGGTGCAGCGGGCCTCATGCGGGCTGAGGGCATGGGTCTTTTCTGGGAAGAGGGTCATTCTCTTCTTTTTCCAGAGGCGGCTCAGTGGTGATCATATCCTCCATAGCAGCCTACATTCCGATACGTGTAAGAACCCCTTTCTCTGCTGCTTCCATCCCTTCCACCATCTTGAAGCTTTCCACTCCTCCAGTTACCCTCAGAAGTTTGTGTCCCCTTTTGGAATTACACCACCAAGTCTATTCCCACAAAATAGTTGCCTTGCCTTCACAAACCCTAACCTAGGGGGTGTTTAGTCACCAGATAATTTTCTAACTGGGACCCTCCCTTACAGGAGATGCCTTAGTATCTACTGCCCTTTATGTGTTCCAATAAGAACCAAGAATAGAAACAAAGAGACTAACCTATTCTCTCCTTTCCCCAGGGCCTGGGCCCTTATGCTGTTACTAAAACAGCCTTGCTAGGCCTCACCAAGAACCTGGCCATGGACCTGGCCCCAAGGAACATTAGGGTGAACTGCCTGGCGCCAGGAATCATCAAGACTGAATTGAGCAGAGTGGTGAGGAGGGGGAGTCCTGCATCCCACTGGCACCCCTAAAGGGCAACTTTCTGGATGGAGAAGACCAGGGCCTGGGTCCTGAGCTCCCAGTCACTTCTGTCCCCACTCCCTGGGCTTTTCTACAGTCCCTCTCCATATCAGCCACCCGTCTAGACTAGACCCACTACTTTCTTGAGGTTTGTGGTGGAGACATAGGAATTTAGACTCTACTCACGCCATTTACTATCTCCTTAAATGGGTGGGGACTGGAGAGATGGAGCAAAATACCTCACTAGAACCTGAAAGAATGAAACAGAAAAGGATGGTGGGGAGAGACCGGGGGCTAAGAAGTGGGAGAGGCGTCTCTCCACCCTTCCTCTCAAGTGATGTTAGGGCAGACAGTTTCTCCCCTCTCTGCCTCTCCCTTTCCTCTTCTTTCACATAAAGAGATTCCCTTTTCCCTGCAGCTTTGGGCAGACAAGGCAAATGAAGAGCGTTTAAAACAAAGATTGCTGATAAAAAGGTAAGGCTGTCACAGGGAGAGTTAGGAGGGATAAAGACAGAAAGGACTGGCCCCTGACATGGCCCACAGCTCGTGTCTCTCGGTCCAACAGACAACACAGCCATGCTCTCCTCTGCCTCAAACATGCACACTTCACAAGTTCATGAAGATGAACTTGATATTCTTTAAAGTAGAGAAACATTTTTCATAAGCAGTCTGAATAGAAACCAAAGGAAAATAATTTGCCATTGTTTGCACTGTATCCCTACAGTGTTGTGCAAGGAGTCTGCTTCCATTGCAAAAACCAGAGAGGCACCCAGTTTTCAACAGAGCACAGCTCTGGGAGAGGCCCTGACTCCTCTCTCCAGCTGGCTATTTGCCTCCACCTCTGGACATCCCTAGCGACCAGGGACCAAAACTAAAACATGTTTTTTCAGTTTCCCTTGAATAAAGAGTCATTTCCAAAGCTCAGGGTGATGATCCTACAGTTCGAATAAAAGGAATGAAAATCTTTACTAAGTCCCAAAACTACTCCTGCCTAAGAAACTAGCCTCTTCCCCAAGGGGTTGGCCGAACTGTTCAGGCACCTTCGTCTGGCTTCCTTTCCTCTAACTTCCCTGCCGCTCTCTAGCTTCAGGCTTCTAAGAACTTGTCATTAGTGTCCCCATCTTGTCCTCCAAGAACGTGTGCAAGCAAGGCCTACTTAAGAAGGGACACCTCCTCAAGTGCTCCGAAAGCCATTCTGATGTCAGGCATGAACTGCAGGCCTAGTTCAACTCACTAATAAGTCAGAGTATTGTCATCCTAGAGCCCCCATGATGGATTTAGCCCTTGCTTTTCAATCTTAGATGCCCATTAGAATCTGCTGAGGTGGTTGTTAAACTACAGACACTCAGGCCCCACTCCCAGAGATTCTTTTTTAATTTGTCCAAGGTAGGATCTGGGCATCTTTTAGGGTGTGTGTGTGTGAGGTAAGCCTTCTCGATAATTACGATGTGCAGCTAGGGTGGAAAACCACTAATCCAGCCCTTCTAGGTTTGAGGTACCCACTCTGCCCCACTTCTAAGGCATTCTATGGTAGTTATGTTAACATGTTCCCTAACTATGCAATCACTGATACAAACACTGAGAATTAGCATATTCTCACAAAATGAACTTGACTCTAAGGGACGAAAATAGATTCCCGAAAAAGTTGTCTGTGAATTGAAGCTGTGCAAATGGAGCCATTTTAAACAAACCATTTACTGTCTAATAGAATCCCTGATGCTTGACTAGTATACACGAATGTGAAACAAATTCTTTGAAGTATGAAATTGCTGCTCACCAGTTTATCTACATAACTTTGGATTTTGGTGTCCTGAGTTCTCTAAAAAACAGTGTCTCTACACTATTTGAATATAATGTGAGTGGTTTTTGCCGAGTACAGTATTTATGCTTATACCAAATTATAACAGCTTATCATCATGATAACCCTTTTTGATGGAGAGGAAACTTATACACTGATCCTGAAAAATCACCTGATACTTTTTGATTAAGTGAATTTCATTCCCTGTGCTCCAGGTCAGGAGGCCCGGCCGGACTGATTTTTACTCCCTTGTTTTACCTATTCTCCAGGTTAGGCAAGCCGGAGGATTGTGCAGGCATTGTCTCTTTCCTGTGCTCTGAAGATGCCAGCTACATCACTGCAGAGACAGTGACAGCGGGTGGAGGGCTCCTAGCTTGCCTCTAAGTACCTGGAAGGTGCCTGCCAGGGCAGAGATTGGCCTCCAACTCTTTGTCTGTTTCAAGCATTCATTAACTGGCCTTTCCCACCTCTGTCTAGCATACTGCTCACCTTATACACCACCCCCAAAATCAATTCTGCCCTGTAAAAAAGATCCAGCCTTCTCTAAGGTCAAGGTGTCATCTTATGAGGATTCCCATTGTTCCTGTAGCCTTGGGTAAAGAATTCCCCTGAGGACACAGGACAGGTGCGCTAAGGCCGAGTCTACCCTGGCAAAGGCCAAACAAAAAAAAAAAAAATTTTTTTTTCTGGGTATCTGGGGAATTTAAGAGAGATGAGAGAGAAGAAATGGAGCTAAAAGGGAGGGAGGGGGATGCGGGTGTTGGAAATTAACAATTTTCAAATAAGGTGCAAATAAAATGCAAATGATCGTATTGCTTTGAAACAACGTGTTCATTTTTTAGTGTGGGGTGCATAGGTGTGGTAGCCGAGCAGAGCGCATAAGTCTGTGCGGACTAGATCGCTGGATCCCCCTAACCCTCCTCCCAGTCTTCAGGACCTAAGGGCGATGATCTGGGTTGGAGGTGTCTGTAGAGCTGCCAGCTGGGAAGAGATGTCAGGGAACTCCCAGGTGCTACATCCGCGGGGATGGTGTCAAGGACACCCCAGGGATCCCCAAGTCTAGGAGAGCAAGAAAGCTAGGACGGACTCCCCTAGATTTGGCCAAGTCCTCTTCTGGCATCGCTCTGGGCCCCGAGTGCCCTCGCGGAGCAGCGAGGACGAGCTGGACCCGCCCGAACAGACGGGAAAAAGGGAGGGGCCTTGTAAGGATGGCCCAAGGTACCCAAGCCCACAAACAAAAGAAATGCGTTCTGCTCATGGTGCCCGAGGAGTGTGTGGCACGCAAAGCAGAGACACACTGCCCCTCGCCCAGGAGACGACCTGGGCTCCGAGCAACACGCACAGAGCGTCGGAAGGAGGGGTGCAAGCGAGCGCGCGCGGGGTCTCCCGCGGCCGGGAGGCGCGGCGCGCATGCTCAGTCCGGCACCTCTCCGGATGGGGAGGGAGACCCGGCACTCGGAGGCGGGGGGAGGAGCGCTCGCGCAGCCGCCCCTGACGAGAGCGGGCTCGGCGGCTACTGCAGCGCTCAGCGCCGGGGCCCAGCCGGAGCCAGGTCTAGCATGTGCCGCGGCTCCCCGGCGGCGGCGGCGGCTCCTCTGCAGCAGCGGCAGCAGCAGCAGCCGCCATGGCCAAGCCCAGCGCGGAGCTCACCCGCGAGCTGCAAGGTACGAAGCTGCGGTGGTCTCCGGGACACCCCGTCTTGGAGCATCCCAGACCCAGTGCATTCCTCCCCGCGGCAC